TAACCCTAACCCTAACCCTAACCCTAACCCTAACCCTAACCCTAACCCTAACCCTAACCCTAACCCTAACCCTAACCCTAACCCTAACCCTAACCCTAACCCTAACAACTTCGCCAAGTATTGAGCCAATCCCAGAGCCGGATCGGAGGAAGTACCTGCCGCCCTTCATCAGCCATTCGCCCGAGGTCGGATCCGAATTCGGACCCGACTAGGATAGGTATATATTGAGACACTCCCTGGAGCTAGCTCTGTAGACTTTTGATATCCTTTCGTACAAGGCCTATAGGTGGCTTGTTGAATCTAGGCTCTTTGTGATCCCACGCACTCCCATATGCCTCTGAGTGATCCTACGACCGAAACAGATCCGACCTGCCTTACCTGCGCCGTTACATAGTGTGGTATCCGCTAAACAGTTGCACGCACTAACCACCTACGTACACCAACTATGTGCGTAGGCAAACTCAATGGCTGCCAAGTTTAAGATATATCCCCCTCGCGAGCTTGCGGTAAGAACCCCCTCTATCTACCTATATTAAATCGAATAACCTACTTGTAAGTGGCATACTAACTCTGTTACAAAGTAAATACTGATGGTCGCTACGTCGTCTCTTATAATACTGCTGGTTTTCAATGCAGTTTCTCGTAAGAATCTTGTTTCACAAACTTTCACCTCTAGTGTGTTCTGCTAACATTGGTTAAAGCTACCCAAACTGCCCTGGAACTCCTATTCATACTTCTAACGGCAATGATAGAAATAAAGGTTTTGCTTATTTGCCCTATCTTTGCGCTAGATGCGCTTGAGGTACACTGATAGGATTTCCTTGAAAGTATACTGTATTGAACAGATTCGAGCCTTCATGAGATTGGGAACTTAAAGCCTTGCGAATCAGGAGGGAACTAGAGAGACCTGCAATCAAAGGTATTTCAATTAAGTTCAGATGACTTAACAGTCACGGTGGCTTTGGATCATCATAAGCTATGTACATAGTATCGTACCCTAGCAGACTTCCTATATTACCCTTGTCAACCCTCCCACCCTATCTATCAAGCCCTTATCTATAGTTTTTGTATGCGTTCGTAACCTCTTCACTTGTTTTTTTCAATTATCTAGTGTTATGTAAGCTCTCATTTGCCTTGAACTTTCTACACTGAAGTGTAGGTAAAAGGATAAGAAGAATAACATACAAGATATTTGAAACATTACTCTCTGCTACAGGGATCTACTTCCAAACCCTCTTAGCCTTCTCAGTGATCAAATCAACACTATAATACGTAAAGAAATTAACCAAAGACAAGCACCGGCGGATACTATACGTGTTATATTTCAGCAATATTACCTGCTATCTAAGTATAGAACTCGCCTTTAGCAGCTTACTTATCGCGCGGCTCTCTGCACGATTACCGACTCTAAATATTCAAGTTCAATGTATTATCCAATATATCGTCTCGTTAGGGCAAAGTCTCTAAAATACTTTTGCATGTCAGATGCTACAGAGAAGTATTGAGGCCAATAGTTGTTCGGCGCAAATGTTTATTGTTAAACAATTGACAGAATACCACAGCGACGACTAATACATATGAAGCCGATTAGCTCTCTAAGCGAACTGTTGAGATATTTTGTTCAAGAGCAAACAAACCGGTTTTTGTACCAAACACCACTAACGTCAGGATAGCCTGACACAAAAAAGTGAAGTGGTTAGCTCGAGCATTGTGATACTGATAGAAAGTTGGATCAAACTTTTATAAACAACTAAATCCGAATCTTCTCCAGATTCTCGTTCCTTTTTGGAGCAGAACATCACGCCGAAGGCACCTGCCCTAATGCAAACGACTCTAACTTTTCGCGATGCCCACAGGGCATGTTCAGGGATCTTGAATGCTGACTTTGATCTAGAAGGGGGGTTCATCTCCGCTTTCGGTGCGTAGACGATGTCTCTGAAGTGGACTTGTTCAGGTTTGATGTGCTTATGTCGCTGATTGTTAGGAGAAAAGTTATAGCGAAATAGAGAAAATCTAGTTCTTTGCACAATGTTTTGTGAGATACAAATCATTTTATCCGGGAATCTTTTCCGACGGAACTGTTGGTAATTTCAGAAGTTAAAAGAATATCGGCCGACGTGAATGTCTTTTATCCTACTTATTTCATTTCTATAGATAAATCTCTAATAGTACAGATTTTATGCTTTCTGAAGTGTTCATGGCTTTTTTTGCATGCATAAAAAGTCTGTCCAACAATCTCTGTTCGCCATTATACTTCCATTACAACCGTCAATGTAGGGCTCCCGGGGGCACCCCGTCGATAATGTCAGTCGCTTTCTGACAGATCACCGCGCAGTCCACAATTCCCTCTCCTATTAGGAGCCAAAGGAAAAGCACAATCAGTTAATCACAGTGATATCTTGTATCCTCTTTACATGGACCATTCATGCCATACCCGATTTACGACCAGACGGGAGACATGCACTCAAAACATGGGGCATGGTTCGGTCAGTCAACCGCTGAAGACTTTCTCCGACCACAACGTCCACTGCCGTCTCCCCTAGTGGAGATACATGGTTCTGACCATGATCTCCCGGTAATCGAGCCAGACTCGTATCTATACAGTGATTCGTCTGAAGAATCAAACAAGCATCCTGCTAGCTCTCAACCAAGCAATCTTGATGCAATAGCCCCTAGGAGGCATCCCACAGAGACAAATGCCAAATCCAGTCCTCATCTCGGACACACACCAACTTCTGAAAACCCCCGACCCGGGCTTCCTCTGCCTCCACATGCACCATCGCTGCAACAGGAACCAACGCCCCCAAATTTTCATGCATGTGTACAATCGGTCAGCAGCGACATGTGCAATCCAGCGTTTGGAGGCTTGCAAAAGATGTCCGATATACGGCACAAGGAGTCGAGGTGCGATAGGATCAAGCGCGCCATGAACAGGCTAAGTCCTCCTCGATATCAGATACTGTCTGGGCTCCGGTCGAGACGGTAGAACATGATGGTGTAGTCCCTCCAGCCTTGCCGCATGGGATGCTATAGTAGCGTTTGTTGTTTGAGATTCAGTGCGCTTGCTGTTCAAGCCCGCCAATGATGGGCGTCGATCATCAGCTCACTGCGCTGGCTGGGCCTGTGTTTGTGTGTTAATGATAGAAATGTGAGACTAAACTTTGGGCTGTGCCATGGCCGTTTTTGCCGTTGTATTGAATAAGTAGTGGCAGGCCCAAGGGAAGCCGTATAAAGAAAGACCGAAAGATCAATGTTTCGTTCACCTCGAGACCATCGCCTGTGTTGAATCCATCAACATGGCACCAAACTCGGCAGACGTCGATAAACTCGCGGAGTCCTACATGGCTGGCTTTCTATACATCTCTCTATGTGATTACCTCGCCCTAAGAGCCCATGGTGCACCCACGTCTTCGCGCCCCCCTTCCCTAGGCTCTCCCGCCCCCCAGAACAACTATGGGTTCGCCGAGCACGTGAAAAACAACCTTCACCCCATCCTCATCACACGGTTTCCGCTCGCTGCAAACGAAATGCACATGAACGAAGCCGGAAAGCAAGTCACTATCTGGACGGCAGACCAGCCGGAATTTAAGCCGGAGTTTGTGGCGGCGCTGGGCAACAAGGAGTTGACGTATATTGCCGACTTCGTGTTTGTGCTAGATGTTAATGACGAGTCTAAGATGTTGCGTGTGCTGGAGTTGATTGATATTTTGGCGACGGACAGCTTTAGAGTGCTGGTTGAGAAGGCATATGGCATCAGTGTGAGCGATAAGATAAATGGCCAAGAAGTGCATGTAGTGGTCGTGTGAGACTGGGTTAGGCATAGAATAAAGACTCTTTGGAAGCATATTCCCATCCGCAATAAACACAAAGGAAAAGAAAAGAGGCATTCTGCCGCTCTGCAAGCGTTGTGCAGCGCCAACCCCGCTCCTCAGTACTGCCACTCCCAACCCCTCCTTTCTGTACCCTCCTTCTCACACGCAAACTACACTCGCAGTCAAACCTGACGAATAGGTATGTATTACAGAGACCCAAGTTTGGAAGCAGAAAGAGGAGATTGTGCTACACTCCCCCGCCAAGCTGCAATAGTAATGACAATGTACTACAACTGCAGGTCGTGCCCAGCCTGCAAATAGGTGCGGCTGAGCAGCAGCCGTGTTGGCCTAACCCTACCGTGTCATCATTCAACAAATACATTATTACCAAAGCTGCAATGAGTCTCTCCTTGTTTTTGTTCGCCCAGAAACCCCGTGGCACACGTGCTTTTCAGCAACTTCCCGCCAAGTTGCGCATGTATACTGATATACTCATATTCAAGTCAAAAGATAAGATTGAAGACGCCCTCTCCAGCACCACCTGTGAGCCATCAGCTTTAACCCATCCACCTTCCCCGCAATAGGAAACAAAAAATAAGTAGTATCAAGCATGCCCTTTGGTCCCTTTGCCCTGCAATGGAGCACTCCATCACCCAATCCGCCGCTCCCCACGCCGCTCCCAAACGGCGTGTCGAGGTGCCATGTCCAGACTCCCTCGGGCCCACTAGTGTGGGTGGTCAATGCGTGCAACGGGTCAGACAATGCAACACCCCCTGCATCTCCCAAAGTAGAACCCACCAATTTCAAATCCCCACAACTCCACCACCATAACAGCTATCGAAAAAGCGCTTGCGGCAATTAATTCGCAAGGTCTAGAAGGACAAATCTCGTACCGTACAGCTGCAAAAATATATAGTGTTGCGGCATCAACTTTAACGCGTCGCCACCAAAACAAAACGCGGTCGCGTGCAGCCGCTGCACACCCATGACGACTACTCTCACCACAACAAGAGAAATACCTTGTCTAGCACATAGAAAAACTCTCTAAGCGTAGTACTCCACCGTCCCAAGAGATAATTAAAAAATATGTTGCCAATATTGCAAAAAGACAGCCATCTAACAGTTGGGTTACAAGATTTCTTCGGCGGAACAGAGAGAAAATTATCACCAGAAACACCGCCGGCATCGACCAAAACTGCAAAAAAGCTAACGATTTTAAAGATTACTATAATTACTTCCGTCTACTTCACGATTATATCAAGAAATACGATATCTAGCCGCAAAATATCTATAATATAGACGAAAAGGGCTTTCTCCTTAGTGTCACTTCAAGGACCAAAAGGGTGTTCTCCAAGAGACTTTGGGATGAAAAGAAAGTTCGAGCAGCTATTAGAGACGGCAGCAGGGAGTGGATAACAACTTTAGACTGTATTTGTGCTAACAGGAGCTGGATATCGCCTATGATAATCTTTGAGGGCAAAGCTGGACTTCAAAACAACTAGGTAGAGCACCTAGATCCTTCCCAACACCAGATGTTTTTTGCTACCAGCGACTCGGGCTAGAGTAACGATATCCTAGGGCTATCTTGGCTTAAGCAGGTGTTTCAGCGCCAAACGAAAGACAAAGCAAAGCGCGATTATCGGTTGCTGATCCTAGACGGTCATGGGAGTCATCAGACTCCAAGTTTTCGAGAGTTTTGTGACTCTAACAGGATTCTCCTAGCTACTCTCCCTCCCCACTCATCTCACCGACTCCAGCCACTCGACGTTGGCATGTTCAAGCCCCTCTCGAGCGCGTATACCGAAGAACTTAATAGTCTGTCCCACCGCAGTCAAGGCTTGGTGGAGGTGCACAAAAGTGACTTTTTATGGTTATTTTGGGCGGCGTGGACACGGGCGTTCACGTCTAACAAGATACTGAGCTGTTTTCGAGCTACTGGCGTCCACCTGCAGGATGGTAATGCCGTGCTTAAACATCTTAAAAAGTCAACACCACAACAAGATATTAATCTAGAACTTGGAGAGCACGGTGATGGGGATACTGCAAAAGAGCTGTCTAATTTTCTAGACAAAACTATAACGGGTTGTGCTAAAGTTATAGTCTCTGCGGTGAAAGACACCATTGCTTCACTCTAGGTCAACAACGAGATTTTGCACCACGAAAACACTAATCTACGAGAAGTACTTGCTATCAAAAATCATCTAAAGAAGCAAAAGAAGCCTCTAGAGCTCCAGCAAAGCAAGCAGTATCATACTCCGGCGGTGGTGTGGAGTCCTAGGACAATAGAAGATGCGA